GTAGCGGATGTAGAGGCAGTTAATGTTATCGTCTAATGCGTCGGCGCCGCGGAGATAAGACTTGTCTTGCACCGCACTAAATAGTCGCTGTACAGACACTAGGCCGAATCGTCCTACGGTAGACGTACTGTAGTGCACTTCTGGAGTTGCGAACTCGTTACGCTCGGGTGGCACAAGTCTAAGGCGCGCAATAGTCGACCGGAGAGACTCCTAACCGGACATTAGTGCTTTTGGGCCTCTGCGAGCGTGTTAGCACCTGCGGAGGGAGAGGTAGCCTTGAAGCGACGAACCTACTGTAGATAAACCTGAGGTAGGCGCATAAGGTGAAGTTATATTAGTTCACCCTTGCAAGGAGGCGTGGGTCGATCTTTGCGCAGCGCAGGTACTGTACGAAGTCTCGTTGGAAACTAGGTAGATCGCTGGCAGCAGAGGATCTAGTTCGAGACAGCGGCAGGTCTACAATGAAAGCTACATTGTCTACTGTCGTCTGCGGCGCGCGCTTACACGAGAACCCATATCCCCCGGCTTGTTCTAAGGCGGAAGTTTACCCTATTCGTAGCGAACAAAATTCGCGCTTGTAATAACAAGGCGCATGCAGCCGTCCTTTCGGAAGAGAACTATGAACTTGCTGTGCGTTAAGCTCCTCTTACAGGAGTCTTTAGGTTGAGTAAGGATAGTACGCCGACTAGACAAACTAGCACTACTGCTGCTGGTCTCTGTCTCCCTGATGCTCTGATTGCCCTGTTTCCTGTCTACTAACCACGTGGTTGGGATAGAGTGGAGGCCATTAGCGTGCATGAGCTAGTCTGAATCCTAAACATACGAGCTAATGACAAGCTCTTCTGTCTGGCTTAGGTCTAGAACTTCTGGGAAGAGGACGTCCTTGGGCCTTAAGTGTGTGGCTAAGTGCACTAGCACGAGAACGGGTGGCAGGTAGTGGTGTTGGATCTGCGGAGGCGGGTCTCGCTTTCTTCGTTTGAGAGGGGTCTCTTTGCTGGGTTTGGCTAGAAGGGGTTGTTTTCGCGGCGGAGGTAGCGGTGTAGAGCTAGGACAGAACGCAGGGAGGACTAGGTCTATCTGCACTGCTGTAAGAGTGGGCTTAGTGTGCGCGTCGTCGTCGTCCGAGTCTGCAGTAAGGTTAGGGCATTTGATTATAAATGGTGTGCGCGGGGTTAGGGTTGGAAGTGCGGGTGAGCGCAGCATGATCTGGGTCGCTAGGTGGGAATTGTCTAGCTGCGATTGTCGCACTAGGCTGAGCGAGTGGCGCGTTGCAACTGTGTGTTATCTCCTCTCGTCCTGTGGCGAGGGTTGGGGGTAGATGTGTTAGTATAGAGACATGGCTTGTTGTTTAGGAACGGGTGCGGTTTCGACTACCTAGGTAGAAACGCCGCCCTAGCCTAGAGGTTGGGGTCGCGGCGTCGCGCAACGCCCCTTAGACGCGCGCGATTCCGCTACGCGTTCTATGCACAGACGACAGCAGTGTAATACCCGCGCGTTTCTTGGTATCCTACTAGGCAGCTCTCCGCTAAGAATCGTGTAGACTCGCCAACATGTCTGCCCGCAAGAGAGCCGCGCCTGAGTTGCTATCGCCCGAACCCTCGATCGCGTCTAAGAGAGCAAAGAAAAGCATGCGCGACTTCTTTGCCGATCGGCCTGCTGTGAGCCTGGAAGCCGTTTCTCCACTGCATGCGGTGTATTACAGATCTATCTGCTTACAACATACTTTAGCTATAATGACATACCTAATGCGCTTCGAGATAGGTCTAGGTTCTATCGCAAGCTTACGAGCTAGATGGTGGCAAGGTATATACCACTACGAACAATGGCAGAAATTGTGTGTGACCTGTTGTTTCAATCGCATCGTGTAGCTTACGCATGGGCTCGAGCCGCACCTATGTGGAGACGTCCGCGACGACAGACACCAAACTTGCGAATCATTTAAACCGAAACCCGCATTCTATAGGAAGCTCGTTCTCCCTTATCTTATACATGTTGCTGACCAGGCATTTTGCATTCGAGACATTCGCCTGCAGGTTTATGAAATCCCGATTATGGGCGAAGTGATCGGGTTTGCCAACCTGTCCTGTTTGGCGACAGCCAATTTATTGTGGTACCTGACTGTATGCTTTAGAGTATTTTGTACATAGGCTAGAGCACCACTAAAGCCCCCGCCTATCTCTCCTTTATTAAGTCTACAATTCACTACCTGCATGGAGGAGCTCTAGATATGACTCGTTGTCTGTTAACAAGTCTCTGTGAGCTGTAGCATATCTAATCACTTCCTAGCAAAGAAGACTAGAGCTACTCGTGTTACTATAGACTTCCTGGACACATTCTGGAAACAGTCTAGGTATTTGGGACTGAGAACCAATTTGAAGCTCGGCTTGGAGTTTCGCTAGGGAAAGAGCTTTGAGATTCTCTATTAAGAACATGTCTGCTAGAAAGTACACTCGGGGATCTTTCAGCAAATCCGGGTCGTCTAGGGATACGTAAGCTCTTAGAAGATGCGACATTGCCTAAGGGAGCCTACCTTCAAGTCCTTCTGCTTCTTGATTGGCTGAGTAATCGCCCGTGTAAAGGTATTGAAAGACTCTGAAATAAGCCATCGCGCTGCCCTCTTTAAATTCGATGAACCCTTGTTCGCCTTCTTTGAACTTGTTAAACGCGTTTGGAAGTATCGACACTTGCCACAAACGACAAGCTTGTGCGCTTAGTGCTTTACACCGTGTATATATATATGGTAGCGTCTGAATAGTTCTGATTGTTGAACTAGCTAAGTTGTTTGTGAGTACTGCCTGCGAGTGAGCAGAGAACTCGTACCTGCTCAGAAATTTTGCCTGTGGTATCTCTGTTGCACTCTGCTATAGAATATGGACCTTTCGTCGTCTGTCAGCATGATGGGATGGATGATCTGGAGACTGGCAGTCCGTGAAGTTGCCGTTGACAGCATGATCGTAGATGCAATATAAGCAAGCTTTCTTCTTTTAGAGTTGTAGCTAGCAGTAGAACGAATCCCGTCACCACCTTCCTGTGATCATGAATGGCTATATCCGCAACTTCTTGCATTTGGCCGATGAATCGTCGCCTGTCGAAGCGCGTCGCATATCTTTATCGAATTGGATTTGTTCTTGGTCTAGAAAGTGTTGAGCCACTTCCATCGCCGTCGGCCGAGCTTCAGGATCCCATCTTAACGCACTGGACACTATGCTTGTCGCTGCTGAGACATGATGCGTCACACGGAAGCAGTTTTCTTGTTAGAAGCAGGATGAGGTACTTACCAAGATAGATTCCGATATAGGCCAGGCTTAGCGTCAATTATGGCAGTAATCCATCGCATCCTTCTTGAGACACGGAGAAATCGTGTTTACCACGTTCCCACAGAACGCGACTGCATCGACCGCGCGTGTGGCGAAGTTTGGTCTCACAAAGTGAGGCTGACCGTGCCGCACTGTCAATATTGCACTAAGAACGCGTGTCGCCCTGCAATGCAGCCCGTCGATGCGTCCTTCGAAAGCAGCGCAGATGGTGAGATTTTCCCTGCTTTGCCCAAATTCTTGCCAGCTAAGAGACATGATCTTTGTCTTCTGTCTTGTTATCACCTCCAAAGATCAGCATGAACAAACTCATGTCTCCAGCATTGCGCCGTGATGCGAATCGTAGTCTTGCCGCCATTGTGCGCACGGGTACAGCGTAAAGGCTAGAACCTAGGATCTGGACGTTAAAAGACAAATTTTCAGATCTAGATTCTGACTTTCAGAGCATAGAGCTCTGGATTTGGAGATTGCAATTTGAATTTACGTGGGTAAACTTTGGATTTTGCAAATGTGGATATTAGAGTCTTAGAAAGTCAATCTATGTTGATGATAGGCTAGGTGTAATGATTGTGTTCCTAGAAGACACGCGCGTGTATTCATTTTGTATTCGTAGTCGATACAACGCGTCGCAAGACAATCTCCTTTCAATAATTTGTCGCTAGGTCGTCAGCTAACTGACTTCACGATCCGGTGGTTGGCCTTTCAAATCGCTGGCTTGCTGTCGAGTTCGCCGCGCCAGCAAGACAGTTAGTTTTGTTGGCGGTGCTGAAGAGGACTTGACTTTGGGTCTTGATATTCCCGCTGTACCTCGGTTGCCCTAAGGCTGCGTCGTTTACCCCGAGAGCGTGGTCGACTAACCCAGCAGCTTTCGCGGACAGCGTTTGTTCATCTGCTGGCTTTAGGGGATCTGTATCCCCTGTAACGAGTACTTCCATACCCGTGCTTCGGTACCAATAGTCGCTACGGCATAGACGTGAGTAAGCTGTGAGTTGGACTGCAGGTAAGTACCACAAGCCTCGAATGCTTGCCCCTCCACATCATGCACCTGTGAATCGGTTTGGCCGGCCTTTTTCGCCTCGTGAAAGAAGAAAACCATAGGCTTGGTTGTATCCTTCTCCAATGTACCTCATTGAACCCCATCTTACACTCGAGGTCGTTTCTTCTCCCTCTGTTCTTGTGTGGAAAGTGAGTTTATGCGAAGAACTCGGACATCAGAATAGAGATCGCCACCACCAGTCCTAACGAATGTCGTGTTCGACTTTAACGATCCCTTCTAGATAAGCAGCCTAAGGTAGGGTGAGCGGATCTCTACCTGCAGGAAATAGTGCCAAACGAAAGACTGGAGCATGTGTATACGCCCTGCTGGCAGGAATTATAGTCTCGGGCTTTCGCTTGGAAATGAGGCAACGCTGCCCGCCAGGCACTCACATAACGACAAGATTTCTACCTACGCCGAATTGTCGTGAATACCTTGCTCGGCTTATTGAACCAATAATTATGCGTTTCCCATTCCTCCTCTGGCTCCGCCAGCTCGAGGTGAAACAACCTAAGAAGCTGTGGCACGACCTTGTATATCCCGCATAAGGATACCTGTGTCCTTGTTAGCAGTTACCTAAATAGCAGCTCGTGCTTACTCACATTCTTCCCGATGCATGCTCTTGGGCCGCTGCCAAACTGCGATTCGAGTTAGTGTTGGGAAAAGAGCTCCATGGATACGGGATTGCACACCGCAAACATGTAGCGCTCCATGCGCGCAGCATCTTTCCGAAGCCACCGCTCCGGAACAAAGCTGTCCGCGTCTTCTCCGAAAATCCGTCGATCGCGCTGTACCACAGCAGCATTCACACCGACGCGCGTGCCTCCAGGAAACATTTCGCCTGCAATCACGCAGCCTCCTGAGGGCACGCAACGTGGCAACGTCATACCGACACTAGGGTGGAGTCGCATACCCTCTTTGCAGCAGGCCACCAGGTATGGTAGACGCACAGCTTCGCGATACTGCACGTTCTCGCTGAGCCGATTTTTCTTTCTAGCTGTATCGATCTCGTCTGTGACCTTCGCATAAGCCGAAGGTGTACGCATAAGGTGATAGAGGATCGCGCGGATCGCCGCTGCGGTCGTATCGGATCCGGCAATACTGGCTCACGTTAGTGATGCTGTTCATACACTGCGGTGGGGATGAGTCTACAAGGCCACCAAGATTTCCATCTTCACCTCTTCCATGCTGAAGTCCTTGTTAGTGCCTTTGTCTCGCGCAATGTCAAAGAACTTCTAGAGCATGTCCGTGAAATAATAGGCCGAGTAGCTGTCTAGTAGAAGCTGCCGCTTTTTTACGCATTCCTGGGCGGCATCCTCGATCCGCTTTATTGCTCGTAGCGCTTAGGAGACGCGAGGTATTACAGCCCTACTAATAATTATAAGAGGTCGTAGATAGAGCAGACAGGCACTAGTCACAACAAGAAACGGGATAAGCAGGTTCAAGGCGCCAATGTAGCCGCCATAGTCGTAGGCACCGTCAAGGAAGCCAAACATACAGCTAAAGAACAGCTCGCCCACCACGTCGAACGTATACCTGCAGGTGATATCAGCACCGACTGCCTACCAGCGCAGTAGCCCATGCTCGTACCATTGTATCCATTCAGACAGATCGACCGAGACATCGTTCTTCGCACACTGGGCAAACTTCTCCACGAGAGCCTGCACGCATCTGTCGATCTCGTGTTCTATTTTCACTATGTTCGACATGGAGTAGGAGGAGCTGACAATACGGCGCCGGTCAGCGTGCTGATGCTCGTCAAGGTTCGTGAAGGCGTCTGGGTATCTGCCCCATGTCGCGCGAAAAGGGAGGTAGAAGTCAGTCTACGAGCAGTCAGTATTGCCTACAGAATGGTCTTGAATCTCATACGCTTACTTTGATGAAGCCTGAATGAGCTGCGTAGATCGTTTTGATCGCCTCCGGATCGGCTATAGCGACTTCGTCAGGCGCGATTCGCACGATAGGACCTTCCCTTGTCAGCCGCGCAGCGTCCACGTGTGCGTACCTCGTTCAGACCATAGATTCGATGCAAGCGCCGTTGTGTTTCCTCTGACCTTCCCCGCGCAACGTCGATAACCAGCCAAAGTCGTGTGATCGAAGCTAAGAATGGTCCAGGGAACTTGGCCAGTGAGTGAAACCTCCGAGCATAGACAATCCACACCAGACAGTAGCCGGTGAAGAAGAGGAAGAGAATGGCCATCATCGCAAGGAGTGGGGAGGAAGTGCCATGTTCAAGCGCCGTGTCAATCCTGATAGACTGCTTTCTAGTACTACTGAGTGCGGTTGGCGCTCTTGTCTGGTTCTGCAACGGCAGTCCAGTGCATTGAAATGATACATGCTGCTTACTATAAGCACTTTAGCCTTCACACAGTGCGATATTGAGTCTCGCGGTTTGCTGTCTCACATCAAACCTGCTGCTTACACGATGGAGAGTGGTTGGAGGGTTTCCTGTCGAGCAAAGGAATGTAGAGTATCGCTTCCCAGCTTTCGACTTGCCCAAACATAGGGCAGAGTGCCACATCAACTAAGCTAGAAACGATGACGCTTACCGGTAAGCAGCTTGCAGAACGACCGTGCAGCAGGAATACGGCAGTCCAACACATTTCACTGTTGTTCTAGGTGCGCGTGATGGCGCCGTCGTTGTTCACTATGTCCACCGTTCCACGCCGACGCCGGCTTGGTCTCAACTGTCACTATGCCTAGTAGAAAGGCTAGTGACTGTGCGCAGTACCATCCTGTGTACATCGCCGGCTGGATCATCTAGATTGTCAGTCGCTAGTGACAACATAACATCCTTGTTGCTGCTTATCTTCGCTGGGATACCGATTTGCTACCAGCGCGTTAGAATTAGCAATACTGCAGCGGCGGTGCTGTAGCAGGAGTGATTCCCCGGCTGCTTCGATAAGATTTCACGCATTTGCAATCAGTTGTTCCACGTACGTTCGTATGTTAGGTAATGCTGTTGCAACCGTCGGAGTGCACAGAAGCTAAGTCATGAACGTAGAGGATGCGAAATCTGAGAAAGTGACCGGCTCGCTTGTGGATCATGTTGCATGGATGTACCCACTGTATAGTATTTCTTGGTAGTGCAAATATTGACTCCAATGTACCAGACTCTTGGGCTGTTCAGCAAATCGACGCTCTATACATGCTTCCAGCCATTCTCAACGAGTACCTGCATTTGATTGACAATGCAGATCTCTCCAGCTTCTTCGTTTTCCTTGCTCACACGTTTCCACCTTCCAACTCCCCTCGACACTTCCCACTCTTTGAGCCAAGGCGAGGTTATCCATCGGCGAATGCGGTTCTCCCACAAGGCCTTGAATAGCTGCCAAGAAGAAAGCAGCAATCCTTGTGGATGTACAGCATCGTATGCCTCACCACTATACCCTACGCGCACCTGCGGATTTACGTACGTCTGTGTGTATCAGGCAACATTCAGAGCCTTCGATATGTGAAGCCGCAAGAGAGTCTGGAATGCCACGAAATCGCAGCGAGGGACTCGAGACGAAAGGCCCAGCAGGCATCGCAACTGCATTAGAATGCAACGGATTAACCATGAAGAGGGCAATAGACAGGGAAAAGAATCTATAGACTGTAGAACCCATCAATGATATCACTGATTTACCTAGGCCGTTCCAACAACTAGTTACGGGCACGGGGCGATATTTCAACATCGCTTCTCGAGACTCCCTGGCTCGGAAGTACGGCCACGTCTGCATGAGTGTCTCATGACCTTCGGCATCCCGGAGCGCAAATGTATCGTAGAACTGCGGAGGCTAGCTAAAGTCCAGTGAACAGGCAGCTGCAAAGTCTCCATCGTTTGTGTTGAGTAGTCGGAAGACGTCGTCCGTATGCGCTATCGTCAGGTACTCCAGGCATCTTTGCGTGTGAGTTAGCTTATAAGACATACAGTAAATACGATATCGTTAAAGAAAAGAATTTTACCAAACCGCTCCCCTTCTCGAGCTAGCTCCTGTAAAGGCTTAAGCGTCTAGTTACAGAGTCGAGAAAGATACGGTATCCGTCTAAGCTCTCTTTTTCCCTTAGGTGTGTTAATCTAGCCTAAGCCTCTTTCTACTACAGAGATCTTATCTAGATAACTAGTCTCTAACAGCGTTATGTTTCGCCTGATCTTGTGCGCCGTTAGCGTCATGTTAAGCTCCCTTAGGGCGCCTTTGCTATCGTCCTAACTCCCGCTTTCGTAGACAGTAACGAAGACATTCTCCTAGCTAAGCGCATTCGCTAGAGCGAGTACGGCATCGTTCTAGTGACTTTACCGAATCCCCTCGTTATTTTAATGCATACTAACGATATACACTCGTTCTAATCGTAGAGCAACAGGTTTATTCGTAGAGCTCGAAAGGCAGCGCAGAATCTGCGCAACCTCGAAAACGTTGAATACAACGAAAATAAGAATAAGCACTTGCATAATTAGTCGACGGCGTAGCACTCGTAGGGTGCGCATCATTTCTGCTACTAACCTTATAAAAACTATCTAACCTCTAATTACCCTTATTATAAAGCCTGTCTTATAAAAACCTGTAGTGTATTCGTCTACAATACTATGATTTGTTTTTGTGTTAGCTAATAGCTCGCACTAGGGTGTTGTAACGCGTTGGTCTTCGTTAAGGGCTCGCTGTACGGCTCTTTTGAAGCTTGATTTGTGGTCAACGCGTCTTTAGGTTGTGTACCCAGTGCTTGCTAATAGGCTCTCTACTTCGCTCTTCAAGTAGATTGTTGGCTATATTTCGCACTATATATTTTGTAGCGTTTGTTCCTCTTGAGACAAGATTGAATATCTCTTGGGCCGGAGCCTCCTCCTCTACTTAGCTTGCTCGGCTTCTTTGTTTAGAATCCCAAACGCGTTTTGGGAGGGCTCCGTCGCGTCGGCCTCTGAGGGAGCTTCGAGGCACGCCAGAGGCTGCAATAACGCGCCTTTCGCTTCCGTCGCGATCTTTCATTGTAACTTAGATATCAAGGTGCATTGTACCTTCAGTACGGGTCAGTTGCAGGTTGCGTTGTGGTGGCATTGTAGTGTTGATCGAGCGTTAGGCTGACCTTGGTGTGGTGGACGGGTTATATGGATTGAACAGATTACTTGTGAACCACATCAACTCAGTTTAAAGCTCTTGATCTCACTGGAATTCCCCAGTAATATACGTGCATCGCGTGCACAGATATGGTACCGCTTGATTGTGGAGTATGCTGATAGTAGAAGAACATCGCCTGCCGCGCCGTTCACGCTCAATTATTTTTACATCTATTTAGTCGTGAAGGATCGTGTATCCCCTG